CTCAGGTAAGTATTAGGTGGGTTGGGGAGATGCATCGTCTGCATGAAGGTAAAGAAACCTTGAGCCTCTACAACCACTTTAAATCATACCGCCACTCCTTATCTGTCCAACAATAGTAAACACCAGATAGGGAGCAGAGCTTCCAGCTACTCTACAATGACCATACTAGATGCTACACATCAACACGGCCACTTGTGGGTAATGATCATGCAGAACACTACTACTGCATCTCGTTTGGCTCGGCTGCAAATTACATTTAAAGGAACCCTATTATGCGGAGACAGCCATTTCTGACCTCTTCTTCTACAAATAGTATTTTCTTGGCTGTTATGCTGCCACTGTTTTCTCAATACAGTCACTGACTCAAAACAAGTACAGAAAGACTTTTGAAGTCATTGTACATACTTGTTCCAGGTGTGTGGCTAAAGTTGGGTATGCACGGACCAAAAGTTGTCCAGTTCAGCAGGAAATGGACGAATTTCGCATTGTGTTTACCCATCTGTTATTCAACATAAGCCGTTCTAAAGACTGGTTTCTGTCAAATGGTCCTGCTGGAAAACCAGCACTCAATCAGCACATTCAGCCAAAGACTGCAGCGCCAAACAATGTATTCAAATGGGGGGGTGGGAGCCCCCCACTGTTAGAATACAATAACGCATCGATTGTGTGGATGCAGGAATCTGAGTTTTTGTTCGTCCAGCCAGATTGTTGAATGAACAAAAATTACTCCCCCTGTATACCCAGCTTTAGTATTAATTAGGGATGCACCGAAATTTCAACCACCGACAAACGTCAGCCGAAAACAGCCCTAGGGGCATTTTGCCGATAGGAAAAATTTAGCCAATACAGGAGACTGTGTGTACTGCAGATGTGAGGGGAGGGCGGTGAAGAAAGGCAGGAGAGGAGCAGTGTATACATTGTCTAGCTGTCACTATATGTCAGTGCTGGCTTTTAACGGCAATTGCCTTTCTTTTTTTTCCACTATAGCTCAGAGTATCAGCTGTCACTTTAAAAGAAAAACTGTTTCTTTAAAGTTTCTTTCCCAAGCTAAAAGAAACAGTTTCATTAGCTCCAGGGAAAGTGACAGGTATGGTGAAGAAAAAAAAAAAAAAAGAAGGGCAATTGCATTTAAAAATCGGCACTGACATATAGTGACAGCCAGTGAGGGAGCCTCTTTGTATACACTGCTCCTCTCCTGCCCCCTCCTTGCACACACTGCCCCCCCTACAAAGAGGACCTGTCACTTATATGCTATCACATAGGGGACTATTGGTCCCCTATGTGATGGCACTAAAATAAGTTAAAAATAAAAATATACATGAAAGTAGAAAATACAAAAAGAAGTTTGGAGCCCCCCCACCCCCACATATGCAGACATTTCGGTTTTCGGCCACATGCATGCTGAATTTTTGGTATCGGTTTCGGCACCAGAATTTTCATTTTGGTGCACCACTAGTATTAATGTTTATCTAAAACTATCAATGTATTTCTCTTTTTGAAATTGTTACAGGTGGGCTGGATTTCAGTTAGCACCACATCCCATATAGTGAATAACCAATACACAAAAACAAAATGGAACTTTTTGATGTACTAAAATCATACAAAAAAAAACTTTATTACAATATTATCATATAAAAAAAAAAAACAAAAAACATCACAGTGGTAGATGTAGAGGCTTAAAACCAACAAAGTGCTCTGTGGCTTAGAATTCACAGTGCAACAATTCCCACTCAGTTTTTGCTCTGGATCACAAACCTTCACATGAACATAGGAGGAGATATTGATAAACTTCTTTTACAACTTAAAACAAAATGGATATATACATTAGCTGCCCATAAATTTCCTGGACTTAATGAGTCCATTAGTTTTAGGCCCTTCTTATAGTAGATGGCCTTGATGCTGCTATTTTGCAATCAGTACGGATCTAACCCCTGAATGTTGCTCAATTCAAGTAATTTATATTGGTGCAGTTCTATGCGATTTGTCATGGTTTAAGTACAGTTTATTATATTGTTATGATTAGTGGTTCTTATGGGTATACCTTAGGGCAGGAGTACTGAATTAAAATTCACTGGGGTCCGGTCAGTAAAATCTTCTTCCGGTGGAGGTCTGAGTGTCATGTTGGTGCTGACTCAGATCCTTTGCAGCATGGCCTCCCGTGCACATCACAGTTCCTCCTCCCCATTCCCCCCTTTTATATCACAGATCACCCCATCACAAACCTCCCCCCAATCACCGACTGCTCCATCACAGACCCCTTATCACAGATCCCCTCATCTTAGATCCCCCTTCATCACAGACTCCCCCCATGCATATTACAGATTGCTGTCCCTTTCATAATATCGCAGCACTCCCCCCTCCCCACACTGTCCTACCTTATTCACAGAAGACAGCAAGCACGGCAGGTCTGGACATATGGCGGGACTTTTCATGTTAAAAGGCAGGTAAATCATTGCTTGGACCACCCCACTGCCTAGCAACCAAATCACTAGCTTCCTAACATGAAAAGCCCCATCCTATGTCCAGACCTGCTGTGCTTCCCAGCTTAAGTGAACGAGGTAGGACAGTGTGGAGAGGGGGAGTGCCGAAATGTTATGAAAGGGAAGACCTGCTGCGCCTCCCCACACTCCCCTTCCTTGAGTATAATAGTGGCAGCGGCAGGCGGGCGAGTCGGCGAAGGGGGGGGGGGGAAGACATTCAGGCAACTATTTGGGGAGGCTGTGGTCCGGAAAGGCATGTTTCTGGGTTCGGATCTGGACCGCGGTCCACCATTTAGTGATGCCTGCATTAGGGGGTTGTTCGGTATTTTTACCAGGTGAGGGCGTCTTAGATGCCAAATTTGTATATAGGCACAAGTGTGATGAGATTTAAATGCCTCGAGACCATGTGCCTTACTTTAAATATAGTAATATACATATTGATGTTTTTTGCATCCATTTACTTTTTTCTTTTCCCCCCTCTCCCTCTTTTGTTTTGGGGGGAATGTTTGGGGAGTTCTTGGTGGCCACTGGGCGCCTGGAGCCACCATTCGGGCAGGGTGTTAATGTGTCCCTTCGTGAGGTGGCGCACTTTGTTGCGTCCTACTTGCCACAGGGTTTAATCTTTTTTGTCTGCTAGTTTGCCAACGAACCCCGTTTGGACTATGTGTTGGATGTTCCAAAATGACGCTGAAATGCTTCGGTGCATGACGTCACTGCGGGATCCATTTTGGGCGTCTGCACCTGGCCAGTGTCAACCTGCAGGGTGGAAGGGATATAAAAGCCAGCTGAGGCTGGCTCTATGGTTGATGCACTCATCTCTCAAGACCACCTTCCAGAACTATTTTCCTAATAGATGGTATGTAGTGGTTTTAAGTTTAATGCCGAATACTTTTTTTCCCCTTGCATGTATATATATATATATATATATATATATATATATATATATATATATATATATATATATATATATTTATTTATTAATTGTGGTGTTGATTATACCTTTTTTAATGAAATTTAAGGGTTTACATAGGTGTTGTCCTTCCCTGTATTCCTTGGGGTAACTAGTTGGCGATAAACCCATAGGCAAACTTACTCGCCTAAAACAATCCGGGGTTGTATCGCCAACTAGTTACCCCAAGGAATACAGGGAAGGACAACACCTATGTAAACCCTTAAATTGTTTTAGGCGAATAAGTTTGCCTATGGGTTTATTACTTTTTATTCTTTTTTGTGGTAGGTGTAGGGGTTGTTTTTGCCTATATATATATATATATATATATATATATATATATATATATATATATATATATATATATATATATATATGCGCATGCGTTTCCCCCCCCTCGGTTTGTTGTGCTTAGGTGTTGGTGTGTTGGCAGGGAGGACCGTATTGGTTGGCTGCAGCTTCCTTTCCCTTTTTTGGCTCATTTGGGACTCTCTTGGGGAAAAGAGAGTGGATGCTTGTTTGCTGTGCTTTAATGAAGATACACCTGGTAAGAACAGCCCTTGTAGGTTAACTCTATAAGAACCTATATCTAATAGGCAAAGTGATTAATATGCATGATTATTATGTATTGATGACATATATTATTTTTGTATTTTCATATTCTTGTCAAATTGGTTTACTGTTATACTTTTATTTTCTCCTAGTGACAATTATATGAAATTATCTGTAAATCTCCAGAAGCCAACAATTTGGCAAAACATGTTGAGTGGGAACTGTTGCATTGTGAATTCTAAGCCACATGAAGCACTAAATTGGTTTTAAGCCTCTACAACTAACAATGTGATGTAGTTTTTTTATATGATAATATTGTAATAAAGTTTTGTATGATTTTAGTACAACATCAAATGTTTGGAACTTTTTTTGAGCACCTTAAAAATCCATTTTTATTTTTCTATAATAATGCATTTCTCTAATTTACTCCCTCCATTTGGTTTGTAAATCTACCATTATGCTTCTCCTCCCCCCTTCCTCTGTAATATTTGGAATTTTATTTTTTCCCTGGGGAACCGGGTACCTAGGTTTGAGAGGTACCCACTCCTACTCGAGTCTAAAAATTTTGCGCTGCCAATCAAGGTACAATCTCCAGGGCCATCACAATCCTTTTACCTTCTCAACTTGGCAAGCCATTGTTTAGAAACAAGCATGTGTCAAAACCAAAATGTATTTTTCCCCGAATCCTATGACATGCAGGGGAGGTAGAATGGTTCCACGGGTTCTAATTTTTGAATGATCACAAACAAACACATGTATAACTGGTTAAGTCACAGTAACCATGTAAATATGCTATAGCAAAAGGCTGTATTTCCAAAACTACAATGAGGTGAGGTTATGTAATCAGTTTAGAGCAGAGGCTGGATTTATGCTTTGAAGCCATATTAGTCATCACAAACACCTTCTCATTTTCTTTTATCAGCAAAATAAAGGGCTAAGAAAAAAAAAAGAAAGTAGTCCTTATACAGATCTAGCAATCAAGGACATGTGAAAAATAGCTTTAGGATGAGTCTACTTACCTGCAACATGCTGACAATCTCCACTTTGTTAAAGAAAATGAAAGACGTAAGTGTAGACAGAAAATTGTCTTCAAATACAGATGGCGTGGGCAAAATGACATCTTGAATGTACTGTACCCTGTACGTTTGGTGAATCTTTTGCCTAAGTTCAGAGTCTGTTATGGGGATTACTTCTTTAAACTTCGCAGTTTTAGTCAAAAACTCCCTGTGTCTTTTTGGCTGAGCCAAGGCTGGGTCATACTCCAGGCACCCCACAACATCCATTATGCACTCGTCCGAAAACATCACCTCAAACAGAGTCGCTTTATTGAGAAATAATATTCCTCGAATAATCTCATATAAATGGTGCAATCCTTCTGTGTTATCCAAGTTTTCACAGGTTTGGAAAAGTTGCAACAACTTTTTAATGTAGCCCTCGTTCTCCAAGGCTAGTGCTAGCTTTTCCCTACGGATAGGTGATGACAGGACTGAGGTAACAAGGTCAGCAATCTCTTCAAGTTTACCAAGTTCACAATTGGGAAGATCAATCAAGTTGCTAGTTTCAGGCATCTCCTCAAAGCGTTCCTCTTCGGACTCATCAATGGGGTCTTGTGTGACTTCCACAGAAGGGTCTTTCCCCTGAACCTAGAAATCAAAATCAAAGACTGGTCAAGTCATATTAATCATACAGGTGTATACACTTGCCACTACCAGAGCCCAGCTCCCTGTGACTGCGGGTGGGGGCTCCTCTCCCTGAACATACCGTCACATTTTGGAAATGGCTCTGCCCGCAGAGCAGTATTATTCATTCACAGCAATCAGTGCATGAACTACAAGTCCTGTTTGCCTCCACGGTGCACACATTAGTAGTTTCAGTGGACCACGACTGTGCTGATCAGCACGCTTGTAGTCCATTCACACTGCTTTCTGGCCATGTAGGCCCTCTGTTTGAAAGCTGTAGGAATTGTCAATGAACTACAAAAGCACTCACCAAGCCCTCCTGCAGTTCTTTGAGAACAAGCCATCTGCTGCGGTGTAAGACAAGACTTGTAGTGCATTCATTCACAAATCTCTGTAAAAGAAAGACATGGATGTGTGGGCAGAGTCCTGCACACCCATGCTGTTTTTAAATTGTGACAGTGGGCGCAGGGAGAAGATCCCCCACCCACTGCCACGGTCAGAAATTGGGGGTGCAGGCAGGTGCTGTATAGTAACATGTTACACCCCAAATATAGGTGTAACATGAAACATATTACTAAAGGTGAGCTTAGCTTTAAATAAGCCTTTTAGATCTATCAACAAATATGTAGTACAAGAGCCTACCTGGCTAGCTACTGAGTGGATTGTTTAGGCAGGGCTTTTACTGGATAATTTTTGTAGCTCTAAAAAGGAAAATGAATAGAGATTGCATTTTCTGACTGAAAAATCTCTGGTGAGCTTTAATGTCTAATAAAAGCAAATAAATGTTAGCATGGTCTGGTTTTCTGGTGTCTGAATCTCTGACAAGGTATTTCGGCATCTAAAATTAATGGTTTTAAATGTATATTTTTTATCATTCTGTAAAAAACAAATGCAGTGCAACAATGGCTCTTTCTGGTTCACAACTGGAAGCAGCAGAGTATTTACTAAACACTGTGCTGTCAGCCATTTGCTGTCACTGACAGATCAATGCCAGGGAGCCAGTATCACCCAGCTTGTACATGGTGGTTAATGCTGCTATGGCAACAAGGAACGCAAAACAAGTACAGTGGTATGTGTGTGTATATAAAAATATAACTGCCAGGCTGCTGCATGTCTATGGCTAGCCTTTCTTCATTCTGAATGACTTTATACAGTGATACATATCAGTGAAAGGAAAAACCAAAAAAAAAAAAAAAAAAAAAACACACCACAGCAATATTCACCTGACATATCTTTTCCCAGATTTCATCACAACCAGCCTTTTCTTGAAAACTGAGAGCCAAATCATAATTTTCTGCTTCAGACCAAACAATCAGCGTATCCTGAAAATAAACAGTTACATCAATCATTTAAAAAAAAAAAAAAAAAAAAAAAAAAAAAAAAAAAGGTACACATTTTCTGTTATTTCAACCATTTAAGTTTTATTCTAGGGTTTTGGTAAGACAGGCCTGACATCCATAACTGCACTATGTATAGCCAGCATTATGCTATTCACTTGGTCCACATGATAACCAGATTTAAATACACATTAAAGTTCTACTTAAAGTGTTACTAAACCCCGGACTCTGCATTCACTATATCTGGTTTTCCACAGTACACACAAGGAAATGCAATTATTTTAGTATATATAAAACTAACTGCTAAATACCTTTTCTCACCAGCAGTTAAGAGTAGTTTTGTGACTTCAGCTAAGCACTGGTTAAACCTTGTAGGAGGATTTTTCTTTCTGCTCTAGGATGATGTGAAACCCCTTGACCCCGTCTGGACAGTGCAGATTGGCCCTGTGCTGATCACATGCACTCAAAAAAAAAAAAAAAAAAAAAAAAAAAAAAACACAACCTCTCTAGAAATCCACACCAAACTGAGCTTGTGTATGTGACCACAGATTCAGTCTGTATCAGGTGGTCATTTCAACAAGAGGAGGGGCAGAGAAGAAAGGATCAAACATATTTTACACAATGCAGAGGATTAACCCCTTAAATTCCACAGCGAGTATATGCTTTACTGCATATAAAGACTGATTTTATGGTTGTAGGTTTAGTAACACTTTAAAGTAGGCTTTCAACCTTACCTACAGATTCATGCCTTCCCCACTTGGAGAAAAAAAAAAATTTTGCAGGTTAAATACCAAACAAATTAGGGGTTTAAATAAGCTGAGTATAAGCTTACTTGCAGTGTTCCATTTTCCATATTTTTTTTATTCACTTACGATTCACTAGAAAATCAGAATACTTCAGGAGAGTCAATTCCCAAGTACAGCCCCCTTTCCTCCTTGAACATCATAGTCCTAATTAAGCATTGTGCTGACCCAGCTCCTCCCCTCATCGCCCTACATAACCTTTTATCCATCTTCAGGGGAACAAAGGGGAATATTATAGTGTCAGTTGAGTAATCATGAACTCCGAGGTTATGCAACACTATCTCTGTCCATGTACAACATCGTCATTAAAAAACGAATTGCAGACAAAAGCACAAAAAAAATCAAGTACTTTGAATTTTACATGTTCAGTAAGACTTGAGACTGCATATGGTGCCAATAGCCCAGTTAAAATACATGTCTTATGTAGGTTTATGGGACTTTTACAGGCACCGACACATATGAGAAAAAAAAATCTTATTTTATTATAATAACATTAAAGTGGAAGGTAAGGCAGAACCCACTAAGCTTAAAATTTACTCCGATCCCCATTCGAAGTCTATTCTATCTACCCTGTAAAAGGAAAGATGCTTATACTTACCTATTGTGAAGCACTCTGGTCCAGTCACACGATTGGATCCCAGCAGCAGCTTCAGTGTAGGAGGAACAGCCAAAACCCCATAGTAGCCCTATAGGTGACATCACTCAGGCTCTGCTGCTGATGTCGGTGATCTCTCCTCTTCCCTGAAGCCGGCTCTCGACAGATCATGTGAGATCAAGTTAAAGTACAAGCATCTTTCCTTTTACAAGGTAGAAAGAAAAGGCTTTGAATGGGGGTTAGAGTAGATTTAAGCTCCGTTAAGTTTTGACTTGACTTCCACTTTAACACAATAAAACATATAGACTGAGTATACAACACCACAAATTTCCTCTAATATATACAGTCATGGCCGAAATTGTTGGCACCTTGATATTTTTCCTGAAAATCAAGTATTTCACTGGGTATTGCATTAACACATGTTTTGCTATAACACATGTTTATTCCCTTTGTATGTATTGGAACAAATATAAAAACAGAGGCAGAAAAGCAAATATGACTAGACCAAAACCAAAATGGGGCTGGACAAAAGTTTGAGGCACCAAAATATTTGCACACCTTCATAGAAATCAGTGATAACCATGCTTCTGACACCTCTCACGGAATTTTGGACCACTCTTCCTTTGCAAACAGCTCCAGGTCTCTCTTATTGGAAGGACACCTTTTCCCAACAGCAATTTTAAGATCTCTCCACAGGTGTTCAATGGGATTTAGATCTGGGCTCATTGCTGGCCAATTCAGAACTCTCCAGCGCTTTCTTTGCCATCCATTTCTGAGTGCTTTTTGACGTATGTTTGGGGTCATTGTCCTGCTGGAAGACCCAGGATCTTGGACGCAAACCCAGCTTTCTGACACTGGGCCCTACAGTGCGACCCAAAATCCTTTGGTAATCCTCAGATTTCATGATGCCTTGCACACAGTCAAGGCACCCAGTGCCAGAGGCAGCAAAACAACCCCAAATCATTGAACCTCCACCATATTTTACCATAGGTACTGTGTTTTTGTTCTTTGTAGGCCTCATTCCGTTTTCGAAACAGTAGAATGATGTGCTTTACCGAAAAGCTCTATCTTGGTCTCATCTGTCCACAAGACGTTTTCCCAGAAGGCTTTTGGCTTACTCAAGTACATTTTGGCAAACTGTAGTCTTGCTTTTTTATGTCTCTGTGTCAGCAGTGGGGTCCTCCTGGGTCTCCTGCCATAGCGTTTCATTTCATTTAAATGTCGACGGATAGTTCGCGCTGACACTGATGCTCCCTGAGCCTGCAGGACAGCTTGAATGTCTTTGGAACATGTTTGGGGCTGCTTATCCACCATCCGGACTATTCTGCGTTGCAATCTTTCATCAATTTTCCTCATCCGTCCACGACCAGGGAGATTAGCTACAGTGCCATGGGTTGCAAACTTCTTGATAATGTTGCGCACTGTGGACAAAGGCAAATCTAGTTCTCTGGAGATGGACTTGTAACCTTGAGATTGTTGATATTTTGCCACAATTTTGGTTCTCAGGTCCTCAGACAGTTCTCGTCTCCTCTTTCTGTTGTCCATGCTTAGTGTGGGCACAGACAGACACACAATGCAAAGGTTAAGTGAACGTCTCTCCTTTTTATCTGCTTTCAGGTGTGATTTCTATATTGCCCACACCTGTTACTTGCCCCAGGTGAGTTTACAGGAGCATCACATGCTTGTAACATTCTTATTTATCCGCAGTTGTGAAAGGGTGCCAATACTTTTGTCCAGCCCATTTTTGGAGGTTTGTGTGACATTATGTCGAATTTGCTTTCTTTCCTCCCTTTTTTTGTTTTGTCCCAATACACACAAAGGGAATAAACATGTGTATAGCAAAACATGTGTTAATGCAATACGTTTCGTGAGAAATACATGATTTCCTGGAGAAATATCAAGGGTGCCAACAATTTCGGCCATGACTGTATGTCTTATCAAAAATTCACTGGTCGATAACTGGACTCAACACACATTGCTCAGACCAAGCCAAAAACAGTTTGAGGCACTCAAAAGCCTACCTTCAAGAGTGAATTTAGACCCTTACGGCTTGGTTCACACTGATGTGATAGGGGAAACGCACAGGAATCGCTACATTTCCAATCACACCACGTTCTGTGATTTGCTGTGGATGTCTATTGTGAACAACCCCCAAAAGCTGGACGCAGAACGCAGTGCTTTTGCCTGAATCGGATTGCGCGAGTATTAACATACATCCATGCAATCTGATTCCAGTGTGGCCAGAAAAAAAAAAAAAAATTGTGCCTGCACCTTTTTTCATTGCAGACGCAGTGTGATCTGAGCCATCCAAAATAATGGGCTCAAATCACACCACAGAATCGCAATTGATTTGCACAGGAATGTGGAGTGATGCAGGGCTTAAGGTAGGCTTGTAATTGTCTCAAACTTTGTCTTTGGCTAGTACACTTTTCATATTTATATTTTTTAGTGTCACTGCTGAACCTTGGATCTGTGTGCTCCCACATTCCTTCTTTTTGAGCCTGACCATCATTGGACTGCATTAGCTGGGCCTCTTTTTATACCCTGGATAGACTGATCGTGCAATCGGCAGTGTGTCTAAATTGTACATACATAATACAATTCAGTTTTTGTCATGTATGTTCCAACCTTTGGATATGTTTGCCCCTGAGAAAGGGAAACGTGAAACACGTTGGATGTACATACAAATTTTACAGACATTCTGTTGTTGAGGTTTAAATGAATGACCAGTGCATTACAATAAAACATGGAGACTGAAATTTTAACTCTAGATACTCAGCTTATAGGTTTTATTGTGTTTTAAATGCTTATTAAAAAAATCAAAAAAAAAAGTCAATTGCCTAGCACAGCCACCTTCATTGTTGCTTGTCATAGCCCTCTCATCTTCTAGGAGTGTGTAATTACTGCTGGTACTGATCCAGGTCCACCATTCCTCCCCTCACCTCATTACATAACCTTCTACTTGGCTGCTAAGGGAGGAGTGAAGGGGAACACTACAGATTGTAACTTCAGCAACAGCTTGGAGTCTGTTGCAGCTGCTGATATCACATCCAAAATGACAACACCCAGCAGAGGTTTTAGGGCTTTTGAAGGTCCATGCAAGGGAGACATTTACAAGTGAATACCATGCAGTAAATGATGAGGAAGATTTTAGTGAAATGAGTGGTCACATGACAGGCTCTCTAACCCATCACTCACCAAAGGTACATTTATAAATGCCCTGGTATTCAAGGGGTTAAAACAAACTCAGGTCTGCTGCAAAAGTCCACAATCGTGAATTATATCAATAATGCTTTAAAGCTTCATGGTGGTATACAGAGGGCACACATCCTGCACAGTGCAGAAGGCTTTCTATGCAAGAAACGTTAACTGCCTCTTTTTTTTTTTGAAAGACTCCTCTATCCTGCAAGAGAGCTGTGAGTTTTCATGAGATGAAGTAGATGTTACAGCCATCAACAGAAAATAGTCAGGTGGTACTTATAGTCAAGCCACAAATACTGGCACCCCTGCATTTCTGTCAGATAATGCACCACTTCACCCTGGAAAATTGTTGCAATTACAAATGTTTAGGCATTCTCATGTTTATT